GCAGGCTTTAGAGTAAGAAATTGACCAATCACACTCACGAATGTGAGAAGAATAATCGACTGTGATCGGTCAATTTTTTACTTCTTAAAAAAACCGAAGGTTTGTTCGCGTCGCATGCTCCAACATGTTCCAATATGCTCCTACGATAGCTCTTACTCACTCCAACGCGCTTGGTAGATTGACGACATGGGATTTCGAAAAGCGTATTGCTGGATTCACCCTGCATCCGATTTTCGTCGTACGACGCTCCGCAACCAATCGGAAAACAGGATTCCGATGAATTTTGCTTCGTATTATCGGAATCCCGTTTTCTAATTGGATGCAGACCATTTCGTACATACGACGAAAATCGGATGCAGGGTGAATTTAGCAGCATAAGATTTCTGATAGGTTGAAATTCTTATTTTCTGTTCTCCGTTCCCTGTTCCTTTCGTTCTGTGCAGTCCCTGAAGCTATCGTGCGCGTGAGCATACCCTCGTCTCTATACCACGATCTCGTATGCGCTCGTATGCGCTCGTATGCGCTCGTATGCGCTCGTATGCGCTCGTATGCGCTCGTATTGTATGTCTATGGGAGATCCAAGCAGAGGGTCTAGAAGAATTGTTTTTATCCGTAATTGTCTCTTGCATATTCGTTTCGTTAGAAATTTTCAAGTCTTTCACAATGTCCGATGATTCCGAATATGACGTAGAACCGGAAGAGGTTGACATTTACAAAAGGAAATATCAATTGCTACTGGATAGATGTCAAGTTTTACAACAGGTTAAGTTTCTCTTCCTTGTGGAACGAAATCGTTATCCGACGGTTTTTTTTTAACTATATAGTATTTTTTAAATGATAGGAAAATGAAAGGTTGGTCTACAGAATCCAGAAAGTAAGGAAGCTTCTTCGACGCACGAGGAAAGAGAAAAAGTTAGTTTTATTACAAGTTATATTGTTTAATATCTAAAATTTCCTTACATTTTCGTCGTCCCTGATATTGATTCTTAGATTCTTGATCGATCGATTGGATCGACATGGAGATCGATGGCGGGAAGCTCCAATGGGTGTACTTGAAGAGAACAGCGTGTTTCAAACGACTCCAAAATTGGAGAAAGGAGGAAAAGGTACCTCTCATAGTGCTAAGGAGGAGAAGCCCAGGAAAGGAGCGAAAAGAAAGACCACGAAAGCTGATCCGAACGCACCAAAAAGACCCGCTAATCCTTTCTTCCAATTTTGTCAAGAGCAAAGACCTCGTGTGATGGAACGTTTAGCTGGAGAACCAGAGCCCAGTAAGCAAGAACTTACTAGACAATTGGCAACTACTTGGAAATCTCTCAGTTCTGAGGATAAAAAAGTAAGATGTAACATTATGTATTGTATGAATATTGACTTTGATTGTGTTTCGACTTGTTCATTACATATTGTTTCAGGTGTATTATGACATGTATGAGAGATCCAAAGAGAAGTATGTCGCTGAAATGCAAATATATAATAAGAAGGCTGAAGACGCGCCGTGTCAGTTGCCAGTAAATGTAACGTGATGTTTGGCATTAAAGTAATGAATATTAATTGTGGAAGAAGGATAATCATAGTTTTGTAAAAACTGTATAATAGCAATTGTAAGCAAAAAAATCACAAATGTTTATAGATAGCTCCGTGTATCTGCTTTTGATTCACCAAGCGCGTCTATCAATAACGCATGTGATCAACATTTGATCAACATTGATGGATATATCAAAAACAAGAGCAAGAAACTCCAAAGATAATCCGAGAAATTTTTATGTAGAAAAATTTATATTGAAAAGATAGAGGACTGCGATAAAAAAATAGTGTGATAAAATTCAGGAAATTGAATGAACGACGGACGAATGAGAAAAAAAGAAGATATATATGGATATTTATTTTGTTATTGGACACACCATGACGCATTATACACGGGAACACAAAAATAAAATTTCTCGTTCGGTCATCTCGTATCTTTTACATTGAAAGTTTATGTTAACGACTACATGTAAATATATTTGATAAATATAAAAAGAAAGCGTTTTATCGAAAAATTAAACTTTAAAGTTATCTTTCTCGCGCCGTAAGTACGACATCGTCTGAACGGGGTCATTTTGCTGTACGTGTTTCATAACGGATGGTTCGTGCACTCTCATAAACGGATTTGTCAGCTTTTCGTCTTTAATAGTGCTAGGCACCGTTGGAAGATTATTAGCACGTTGAGTGTGCACCTGATCCAATTTTTGTTGTATCGCCACGTTCCCAGGCTCCACGTATAAACCAAACTTGAGGTTGTTGACTGTATATTCGTGTCCACAATACACCTTCTGTAAATTATAAAAATGATTCGTTTGAGAACTGAATTACAATTTTACTCGAGCGTAACTTACCGTCTCTTCGGGTAAAGAGCCTAGAATCTCGACGAGTGCCTTGTACATTTGATCTGCGGTACCTTCGAAAAATTTTCCACAGCCTCCAGCAAACAGCGTGTCCCCTTTTAAGCGGGTTAAGCATCTATTTATTGTATTTGTGGACATTTTCCCTCCGTTATACACCTAACTTTACCTGTGAATACAGATGGTGAATGTTGTCCTTCTCCCGTAACATAGTAACAAATGTGTCCACGCGTATGACAAGGTGTTGCAAGACACTTGACCGATAAATTGCCAATGTTGAATGTATCATTGTGCATAATTTTATGATTAATGGCTTCTACTCTGTCATCTCCACCGTATATCACAAGATCGGCGAAGCGTTTGGACAGCTTGGCGTTTCCTCCAGCATGATCCCAATGATGATGAGTAGTTAAAACCTTTGTTAATTTGACATCATTTTGTTGGACAGCTGCAGTTACGGCTTCTGGATCGACAGGATCTACAATGGCAGCTTCCTGTGTTTCTTCGTCGATAATCTTTTATGAAATTTCGAAAATATTATATGACGAGAATATAAAGTAAAGATATTGAAAAAGTTTGTACATTTTAACATTTTATCATAACATTTATTCTAAGACTACATTTGCACAGATCGATTGATGCCCAAGTTATTACATCAATGTTAGGAAACTGGCCAACACAGTCACAGTCGTTCCATTCTTCGGAGGAACAGCTATGATTGGCCAGTTTCATAACATCGACGTTATAATTTTGGCCTAAATTAAATAAATCGAGCCGTGTAAACGTAGTCTATGACATTTTATCGTATATCGAATGGCTATAGAGATTTTATATATATATATATATATATATATATATCTTTCTTGTGTAAAACAATACAGTATAAAATATATGTACAAAGAAAGCACGTACTAAATACATATAATTATCTTGAAGGGCTGGTAATATTTGTACTTTCATATTGGAATGATCTACCGTTGCACTTAGACTATGCGATCTGCCATTGACAGAAGCACTCTTTGCTGAAATGTTACAAAGAAAGTAAGTAAAATGCAATTTATAAAATGTATGCATATACAACTTTTGATAGATGAGCATGTTTTGTCTGATACACTTTTATCAATCATAAATTTGAAAATATTGATTAAATAAGATGTAAAATAAAAGAAACGATAAAATAAATAAACTAAAAAATCGACAATGTAATGCAAGGCAAAATATTGGTACTAGTAGTAGCAGTAAACACACAAATGTACATACGGTAGCTACGGCACACAAGGTGATGTCAAACGCAAACGGGAAAATATATAACATACCCCTGAAATACAAAAACGTGAGTTTATTTTCAAGCCATGTTGGACATGCACGTAGTGCAATTTGACGAAACATGATGACAAAGAAACTCGATGTCTCATTTATTTTGTACGCACAAAATTTGTCACTCTTTAGCTTCACCACTTGCCTTGCTGATATGGCAGAAAATGAGATGTAAACATGGTGGAAGGGATTAACGTGGTGTACGCAGTTCGGGCAAACCACGCCCCTTTTGAGAGTCGAGGGTCGAGGACGTCGAGGTCAGTCGAGATACCGCGTTCAGAGTCCTAGACCTGCCAACTGTGAAGAAATAAATGATATTGGCTGCGTTCAGCAGAGAAAGCAGCTTTGCAACTGTTGTAAAATTCTTCAATATGATTGGTTTATACGTTTAGATCTGTAAGGAACCAAAAGCAAGAACCAATCGTATTGAAGAATTTTACAACAGTTGCAAAGCTGCTTTCTCTGCTGAACGCAGCCATTGCTACGACTGATCTCTATGCATCTTCTACGTCAGATCTCGCTACGTGTCCTTTTTCCTCTTCGCGCTTCATTGGCTGCGTTTAGCAGACTCAACAGTTTTGCAACCGTTTTATGATTGTCTGCTGAGATAGGACCATTCTTCTAGATCTAAAAGTATTATCCAATCAGCGCGAAGGAAACTTCCAACAGTTGCAAAACAAACGTTCTGCTGAACGCAGCCATTTATTAAGTAGTATAAAGTGAGTTAATGGGTGCGTTCAGTACTACAACTGCTCACTGAGCGCTCAGTGAGCTCTTGCATCCGATTGGCATATTCCGTTAGAACTAAAAATATAGACCAAACAGATACAAGCGCTCACTGAGCGCTCAGTGAGTGGTCGTGGTACTGGATACACCCATTGGTTGCGGTCCACTTGACGCTACAAACGCTTCTTTGATTAGTCAATTCGTAAAATTCTTTGTTCTGATTGGCCGTTCAAACGCTTCGAAACGTTTGTAGCGTCAAGTGGACCGCAGC